GTTGACCAGGATGGTCTCGATCTCTTGACCTCGTGATCCACCCGCCTCGGCCTCCCAAAGTGCTGGGATTACAGGCTTGAGCCACCGCGCCCGGCCTAAAGTCTCTTATATTTTAAGACATTCTCTTATTTACTTTTATTTTGAACAAGATACTATATAAGATACATTTTCTTTACATTATCTCAGTTAGTTAGTGTTTTGATATTTATAAAAATAAAGTGATAGAACCAACAGAAAAACAAGGCAAAGAAATTCAACATAGAGTCCCAGCTTGGGGGCTCACACCTGTAATCCCAGCACTTTGAGAACCTAAGGCAGGTAGATTGCTTGAGCCCAAGAGTTCAAGACCAGCCTGAACAACATGGTGAAACCCCATCTCCACAAAAATCACAAAAAATTCGCCAGGCATGGTGGCATGTGCCTATAGTGCTGGCTACATGGGAAGCTGAGGTGGGAGGATCACCTGAGTCTGGAAGGTCAAGGCTGCCGTGAGCCGTGATCCCACTGCTGCACTACAGCCTGTGCAACAGAGTGAGGCCCTGTCTCAAAATAAATAAATTTTTAGATCACTTTAAAAAGTGAAATGGTAAGCAGATCACACTGCAAAGATCCCAAGTTACTCCTATGGTATGAATAGAAACTGTACAAATGTTAACCCAATGAAAATTCATAGTTTGGTCTAAAAATCTAATGAGAACACCATTAACAGATTAAAAAGTATTGCACCAGGCACAGTGGCTCACACCTGTAATCCCAGCACTTGGGGAGGCCGAGGCGGGCAGATCACCCGAAGTTGGGAGTTTGAGACCAGCTTGACCAACATGGAGAAACCCCGTCTCTACCAAAAATGCAAAATTAGCTGGGTGTGGTGGCACATGCCTGTATTCCCAGCTACTCGGGAGCCTGAGGCGGGAGAATAGCTTGAACTGGGGAGGCAGAGGTTGCAGTGAGCCGAGATTGCACCATTATACTCTAGCCTGGGAGACAAGAGCAAACCTCTGTCACAAAAAAACAAAAAGTATCATATCATAAACCTTTTATTTTCATTTATTTATTTACATATTTAATTTTTTTTGGACACAGAGTATCACTCTGTTGCCCAGGCTGGAATGCAGTGGCATGATCTCGGCTTGCTGCAAACTCCACCTCCCAGGTTCAAGTGATTCTCATGCCTCAGCCTCCTGCATACCTGGGATTACAGGCGTGCACCACCAAACCCAGTTAATTTTTGTATTTTCAGTAAAGACAGGGTTTCACCATGTTGGCCAGGCTGTTCTCGAACTCCTGATCTCAGGTGATCCATCCATCTTGGCTTCCCAAAGCGCTGGGATTATAGGTGTGAGCCACCGCACCCGAAATCTCACAAACCTTTTAAATGGAAGCAAACACAATTGTGCTCTGAAAACTGGTGTTTAATAAAATGAGATAAAAAAGTATTTTTAAATCCATACATCAAAAAATATTTGATATGAGTAAATTAATAACTAAGTGCTATAAGAAGATATTTAACCATTCTATTTATAGTCCTCAAAGTTTATGTACTCAAGCTAGCAAAAAAAAATGTTTTTGGATTTTTTATCTCTAGAAGATAACTCTATCTATCTATCTATCTATCTATCTATCTAATCTGATCTATCTGGATTTTCTTATTTAAAAAATGGGGTGGCCAGGCACGATGGCTCATGTCTGTAATCCTAGCCCTTTGGGAGGCCGAGGCGAGTGGATCACTTGCAGTCAGGAGTTTGAGACCAGCCTAGCCAACATGGCAAACCCTGTCTCTACTAAAAATATAAAAAATTAGCCAGGCATAGTGGTGGGCACCTATTATCCCAGCCACTTGGGAGGCTGAGGCAGAGAACTGCTTGGGCCTGGGAAGTGGGTTCCATCTATGGACGATGAGGATCTGGTGCCCTTTCACAACCACCTCAACTCCCACACTTGCATGTACACTATTCTCCGATCCCAATTCTCCCAGTACAGATAGATATATCCTCTTTGTGATTCTCTCAGTATACAGTATTTAGGTTATTATGATCATGTAAATGCTATTCATGACTGAATAATAAAAATAACAGCCAACACTTATAATGCCAAACTTACGAAGTGTGCTAGACACTGTTCTAACTATATATAATTCATTTAATCCTCCCAATAACCCCAAGTGGTTGGCACTATTTCTATCTTTTTATACAGGTATATATTATGATCACTTTTCCTTTCTTTTACAACTTTTTTTCCTGGAGTTAAGAAACTCTCTCTTTACATATTTCCTCTTAGACAAATTTCCCAAAGATGATTTTTCAATCTCTGGCCTGAAAAGCATAAGACTGGCTGACAATGTTCTGGGAACCTAGTAGAAGTGAGATGGTCATTTCAACATTCAAGTGTCTAATCTTTCATTTAATCCTGTTTTCAGTACAGTATTTACCCCTTACCCAAGACAACTCAACTGTAACCAGTGTCCCTAGACCAAAGACAGTCTCTATTTTACCTTTTCTAAAAAGCAAATCTCCAACATTCTGCCGAATGCATGTGAAGATGGGGGAGGGCAGGTATCCAGCTTTTAACACAGATGTTGAGACTAAAGGAATCTACTTGATTATTAAATCGCCTCTCCTGTTGTCAGCCCTACTTTTAGAAGTACCTAGTGCTACCAAATTCTGAATCTCTGGGGATTCAGAGGCAAACTGAGTAGCACCTCAGCTTCCAGACGCTACAATCTTAGAATTCAACTTTTTGAGACACTGAAGTGAGTTTCCAATCATCCATTTTCTTGCCTCCAATTTTTCTTTTTCTTTTTCTTTTTTTTTTTTAGATGAGGTCTCACTGTCATCCAGGCTGGAGTGCAGCAGCACAATCACAGCTTGCTGCAGCCTCAACCTCCTGCCTCTAGTGATCCTCCCACCTCAGCCTCCTGAGTAGAAGCACACCGCCACATTTGCCTAAGTTTCATTTTTATTTTTTTATTTTTTGTAGAGGTGAGGTCCCACCATATTGCTCAGGCTGATCTCAAGCTCCTGGGCTCAAGCAGTCCTCCCAAAGTGCAGGGATTACAGGCATGAGCCACTGCACCGGGCCTCAAAATTTTTTTAATACTCATCCCTTCAACTATCTTCGTTAACCTTATGGGATTATACATTTAAGAAAATGCCTTTAGTGTCGTTTTAATGGGGATTTCAGGAGGGACAGAGATAAATGCATGTATTAAGTCTGCAATCTGCAACCAGTAGTCTAAACTAAAAATATAAATAGGTACATCTGCCACGCAGGGTGAATAATGAACAAAAGCAAGAAGGTATAAGACAAGGTGCCTTGCCGGGCGCGGTGGCTCAAGCCTGTAATCCCAGCACTTTGGGAGGCCGAGGCGGGTGGATCACGAGGTCAAGAGATCGAGACCATCCTGGTCAACACGGTGAAACCCCGTCTCTACTA